CTGCTTACTCCTGTCCGCAGACCCGCATCAATCCTCATCTACGTGCATGGCTCTCCCTCTCTAGAAGCAGGAAAGCTGAGTGTTGAGGCACTCAGTCCAAAGTATGTTGATGGTTTAAGTTCACACCGAGGTGCCTTGGAAGAAAAGCCTGGCAACCTACTCCTAAAATAATAATAATACTAAAACATTGAAAACCCAGTGGAGGATGGTTGTATTCTGACACACATGTTACTCAATGCACTCACCACAGACATCCTCACCCAGTGTTTGGTGAGGAACTGAGGAAGACTTGCTCCCTGACTCCAATCTAAGAGCCTAGCAATGAAGACTATTCAGAGTAGCATATTAAGCCTATATTCCAAGGTGCTGGTGTCATTTCCAAAAAAAAATCGCTAGTCACAATGGACTTTTCCTTTGTAAGACTCAAAAAGCTTTGCAAATATGTACAAAGGAATCTTTCACTCTCATGAAATAACACTAAAGCAGAAAAAGGGGAAGTGACTTTCTCAGAAGCCACCATACAAATTGGTGGAAAGCCAGAAATAGAAGCCTTAACTTTTCAGACCTTGTCTTGACTCGGCTCTTAGTCAGGTCTTCCTGCCAAGAATCCTACGTCAGCATATGAAATTCATGTAAGTATTGTGGTAGCCCTTTCTGTGAAGTGCTATCAGAAGCATGAAAATATCAATTCATCTAGTATGAGATTATGTTTGCAAGGTAGTGTTGTTCCCTTTGTGTGTTGAAATTCTATATATCAGGTTGATATCAAACAGAATTAATCACAGAGATTCTAGAATTCTGTTCTTGAAAGATAGGCAATGAGTACCATTGGGTAAGTGACACTCTTAGTAATATTAATTATAATGGAGTTTACTTTAGAACCTCCCCCAACATTAACATATTCTCAAACTTAATTAAAAATCTAATACAATATATGTGCTCTTTCCTTCTTTTTAAATCATTTTTCACATCGCTTCAACATATTTTCCCATTACCTTTATACTCGGAAGTAAAATGCATTGTGTGCAGTTACGTTAAATGTGCACAGACAACTGAACACAGAGTGTATTGAGCCATTTTCTTATTGCACACAATGTGAAGAAACAAAAAAGATTATAGCAGTAAAAAATATTAACCTAGCAGAAAGTTCCTTGACCTCTACCTCCATTCGAATATATCCCAACTGTGATTTTATATTATGGGCCGTGAAATGGAGGCTGAGGCAGTAGGAGTTATTTAATTGGGAAGGCAGTTAAAAACAAGTAAACAAATTAAAAATTAATTTTAAAGATAATGTAAGATAGTGAAAAGCACTAGGGAGTAAAATGCTAGGAATGACCAGGCCAGTACGCTCGAGCTAAACACTATCAGGAACATACTGCACTGGGACGAGTGAGATGGAATACTCCTTTTGTATAGGGAAGACGCACACCATGGAAAACAACGGGGTGTTTAGGTACAAAGACGCTTTGGGGGAAAAAACAACTGTTGTCATCACATTAATCACAACTCTTAGAAGCACCCCAGGTTACAGAGGAGGCCTGCTCCGTAGGGTTTTCTTGGCTGTAATCTGTTGGAGCAGATTCCCAAGCCTTTTTGTATAGTGCCACTGAGTGGATTTGAACCAGGTTAGTAGGCAGGTGTAATAAACCATTGAGACCTAAGAGACTATTTTAAAAACCTACTGCTTTACCATGTTTGCTTTCTCCTCTTAAAAACAGTTCCAGTCTCAGAAATCCACAGGGGCAGTTCTACCCTGTCTTCTAGGGTCCCCATGAGTCAGTATTGACACTACAGCAGTGAGTTTGGAGTGAATTTATTATAGAGTCTGGTGTTCATGTGGGTGCTTTGGATGTGTCTAAGGAATTGGGAACTCGTTCTAGACAGGGCACTGTCAGAAAGTAAGGAGAAGTCAATGATTTGCTACCGTAATGAGTCTTATCTATGGGGAAGGGAGACTAGTCAGGTAGTTGGTTCGGTGTCTTTGAGCCCGTTCCAACCCATAGTGGCGCTTGCTCTTTACAACAGAGGAAAAGAGCTCCCAGTCCTGCACCATCTTCACATCCGTGCATCATGATTTCCTCTCTACATAAAGGGCAAAATGCGGGGACTCTCTGAGATGTTTGTTATGAAGGTTAAATATGTAAATTGAACGCTTAGATCTGCATCGGACACAGAGTAAGTAGTCTATAAACGATGGTTTTGTAATTCTGATGACAAAGGTGTATTGGAAAGGGGAAAAATCAGTAAACACAATATGGCCATGCTGAATGAGTAAATGATGGACTAACCAATAAGTATAACCCTTCACAGATATTTCTTAGAAATCGTTTCTCTGACTTAGGCTATGCACAGTGCCTCAACTCTTTCTACTAGGGAAATCGCATAGTACATTGGTATTTGGCAATATCTGAAATTATGCGTTTCATTTAAACATGTTATTTTCTGTCTGCCTGGTCTTTCTGATACATCCAAGCTTACCACGGATAAAGGTTATGTTACATTCTGAACTTTTTTTAACTTGGCATAAGAATGCTCTCGGAGTCTCAGATCTTTAATTGAAGCAGCCATATTTAGTGTCACTGAAATAAGTGTGATAACAGCTTGATCATGCAAAGCTTCACGTGAAGAAAACACCTGCCTGGTGCTAATAAGATACATGAATTTCAGACAACAGAAAACCCAAGAAAATTACCACTCTGTCTCTCTTGATAAAATACCAACAGAGTTCACTTTTCATTTCATTATAGTAAAAAGTCAATTTGAATTACTAGGAAATGTGAATAAAAATTCACATGGATTATTGGCTTTTGGTAGGTAAGGGATTTAAAAACATTGCTGAGTTTCTTTATAAGTACTAGTAGATTTATTAAGGCAAAGTGAAGTAAAAGACAGAACTATTTTGCTCTGGATAATCATTAGATCACTAAGATGAGCTAAAAATAAATTTCAAATATCTTTGTAGGCCTGGATATGTCCGGTATTCATTTAAACACACACACTTCTATCAAGGTTTACATCCTCAGTGGAAAAATGTTGAAAGTGTCTATCAATTGCCATTCTTTTTATCTCTAAGAGAAAATCTTTAGAAAATCAAAAGCATTATTACAAAGAGAACTGAAAACCCATGGCTTCTTTTCCCACTGATCATTAAGAACATCTATCCCCCAACAGATTGAAAGCATGATTAAATTTTAAAAGACATGAATGTCTTTGATGTCAAATTTATGCAAGATTCCGAAAACCCCAGCATCATATGCCCTGAAAATTTTGCAACCACAGTCTGGTCTATGTTTTTTGGTTTGCTTATTTGTTTGTTTAACATTCATGAAACAAGCTGTCTTGTTAAACTCTTTCCTTTTTCGTGGGCACATGTTTGCACTTGATTTTCAGGAAGCCAAGATTGCCTTGCTTCCTTCCTAGTTTTATTTACTTACTTATGAGTTTGCTTGTTTCAATATATTAGCACCCACACCAAAAGTAGACTTCATAGCCATATATAGTTAGCATTTGGTTGCCTGTAACTATTAAGTCAAGAAAAGTACGAAGAATTGGAACCTCTGATTCTGTAAATGTTTGACTTGTTCCCTAAGACATATACTTACATTTCATCTAATTATTGGTCAGAGCTGTTAATAGACCAGTAGAGGAGATTTTTATTTTCATCCTTCTCATCCTTCTAAAGCTTAGATTATTTAAAGCATATGGCTGGCACACTACAGTGTATAAGCACTTTCACATATATTCTCACTTTTGACCTCCCCAATATCGATAATATCACATATATTCTCACTTTTGACCACCCCAATATCCCCAATACCAAGAAGAGATGTAGAATTACAGACAATTGGAGTCTTATCTTCACTTTGTAGATGAGTAAATTGTGATTCAAATCTTGTGCTCTTGAGTACATGTGGACAATCAGCTTCAGAAAACTTAGGAGTTGGGAATCTTATGTTTTGCTGGGTTTCTAGCACCGTACTAACAAGATCTCCCATTTTTGTGCCACCATGACCTCTCTGGATCAGGCTTATCTCCTGACTACTCCATGTCCACATCAGTTTTTTTCCTCTCTGGGACTCTTGAATCTTTGTCTTAACCTCCCCCCCACTCTCCATAGTCCACTCTCGTGACTATGGCTATTTCTCTTGCATATCTGCATTCCCCCCCCCCCCGCCTTTCAATCCCAGCTCAGAGTCGACTTCTTTCAAAATCTCTTCCAGCCACTACTGCACTTTGAAGCTCACAGTTTTCTCAACTCAACATTTACATGACCTTAGTTCTCAAGTTCTTAAGCATTTTGTATATGTGCACTTAATTTCTTCAACTAAACTATAAGCTCCTGAGAACAGAGATGTAAGTCTATGCTTTTTTTCTATTTTTAATTCGCAGCATTTCTAGACTGGATGGATGAATGGTTGATATATCTATTACTTATTTAATCTATCCCATGGAGCCAGTGCTGAAACATAATATGTCCTACTGCATTTGCATTTTCAACCACTTGTAATGTAGTCTGGATAATCACTTCTCATATTATAATATGTTTTATTATAGGTGAATGTAGTGTGGTCTTTTCAATATATTCATATCGGAAATGTCCCAAGTATTGATTTCTAATAGTCATCGAAGCCTCGGCATGCAGCATGTAGGCATACAGGACAAGATGTCTGATGGATTCCCCGAATTCAACAGACATTTGACCCATATATCAGCATTTAGAACAGGAAGAGGAGACTTCATGCAGTGATTGCTATTCTATAGAATCACATTAGCATTACCCATTCGGCTAGTCATAATTTCTCAGGAGATCAGGAATATCTATTAGTGGTAGCCCCTGTGGTACAGCATATGAAAATGCATTGTTCCATTATTCATTATAAATGCTGCTGGTCAAGCATATTGTCATTTCAAACTTTTATACAAATGTATTATACAAGTGTAAGCATTATATAACAATCCTGTTTTAACCACCAAACACCTTCTGTTTTCATTTTTAGGTGAATTTGGGGAAGTCTGTAGTGGACGTTTGAAAACACCAGGAAAAAGAGAGATCCCAGTGGCCATCAAAACTTTGAAAGGTGGCCACATGGACCGCCAAAGAAGAGATTTTCTAAGAGAAGCTAGTATCATGGGTCAGTTTGACCATCCAAATATCATTCGCCTTGAAGGTGTTGTCACAAAAAGTAAGTAACTATTTGTCTTCATTGCTTGTTTATTTCTTTACCTCAGTGCGTCAAGCAAAGAGTGAGAGAAAGACTTTAGTAACAACATCATAATCATTATAGAAATAACTTCATGTCAATGTCATCTTTGATACGACCTCTGAGGGTCTTGATTAGACAATAACAGTATCAAAATTTGCACTGGTCACCAAATAGCTTTTAAATCACTGTTAACTTAGTTTGAACTAATGAATCAAGAGTAAAGGGTTATGTATCTTTGCTCTAATTTCTGTAAGCTTTTTCACTTTTTCTAAAGCTGCCTAAATGTCAGTATTTATAGAAGAAATAACTGAAATATTTGAGATCATTAAGGTAAAATACTTCTGTTTCGAAATAAGTTTTATATGTAAATGAATACTTCACCTTGCGTAAAACTTTTCAATAAAAAGCTCTCTGTGGAACCTATCACACAAATGCCATTAGAAATAAATTCCTATAATTTGTATAAAATAACACGATACAATTCTTCCAATATTTATTCTACAAAAGTAACAAGATCAAAACCATTCCTTTGAAAGATTTTTTAATACAAAATTAATCATTTGCTCTAAGAAATAGATGTCTATATATTCATTTTTATTTGAATAACAGTAGGGCATAAAACAGCAATATTTCTTCTTATTTAACTTACTGATTAATTGTAACATATTAAGGCCAATGTAGAATGACATAAATATAATTTTAATCTTTGAAAGAGCCATTTTTCTTTCATGAAATATAATATTGCTTTTCAAACTATTCAAATATAATTGAAAATACAGCATAATATTTGGAAACAGGGAAGATACAAGCATCCTCAAAGCCTGCAGTAAGTACTGTTTGTAGTTACAGATCTGTATGACAGGCCTAAATACTTGTCATGAGGCATTGACCAAGAGTTTAACAAGGAGTTGTCATGCTAGTTTGGAAGACAGAAAAGGGTCCTTTGGGTGAAAATCACTTCAGTGGCCTTCAGTTATCCACTATTGTGTCTAGTGCTCTCTCACAGAAAGCCAGGGCTGGCCAATGTAGCGAACTTCAGCCAAATTTAGGCATTTTAAGAAGTCCCATTGATGCCATTGAAGTTTGTCCTTTTAGATCATTCCTTTCTGGATGAAGTTCAGCCTCCATGGTGAGGGGAGTTTCTCCACATGGGCAGGCCACATGAGTTCATGTAAACAAGAGGCAAGCTAAGGTGTTACAGTGGGCAAGCCCATCTGAGTGCCCCAGAAACCCTCAGCACTGACCAAACCTTCTGAGTGGGCCATCTTTGAAGTTTCAGTCTTGCCAAAGATGACTGCTGCTGCAGTTAAAATCATGCAACATGGGAAGTGCCTACTCAATTGATTCAAGCCAGACAGTTCTAGTTGTTAGTTTAAGCCTTTAAGTTTTGGGGTTATCAGTTACCAGCAATAGATAATCAAACAGGGTAAGAATTTTGCTCCTGCCACTTAAGACGTGTGCAATGTTGGAAAATTACTGAACATCTCTATCCTTCATTTCCATATCTATAAAAAGAGATATATTTAATCCTTACTTTTGAAGAATGCTAAAGAATTATGTTTTTAAGTGTATAAAGCATTTAACAACATATCGTTCCTAGTAGGCCATATTCATGGTAGCTTTTTTTTTGTTTTACCATGTACCGGGTATTTTACATATACATTTTACCATGTCCACCTCACAGAAAATATTATTATTTTCATTTTTTATGTTTTAAGTAAGATAAACTAGAGCTCAGACAGATGAACTAACACGAGCACCTCTCTCCATGACAAGTGCTCAAATGAAAGTGTATCTACCTTCACTGCCTGTCCCACTCCCCCCGTTTTTCAAAATTTGCCAAATAATAACTCACCCTAATTATATTACCCTAATTAAATAAGAAAAATAATAGGTTTAAGAAACACTTGGGGGAGTGAATCAATTGCCCCTAAAATTGTAAAATTCGAGGAGAGCCAACGATGATACAATCCCTAGTCAGAATTGTAATCTAAGAGAGAGTTTTTATTTTCTGGTTTTCATATTCACTTAGTATGGACATTTTAGTTGTTCCTTCTGTTTTTTGTCTATGTGGCAGGCAAGATTTTTTTTATATAATTGAGTTACTAACCTTTACAAAGCTTTCAAACAATTTAAGTATGTTGTCAAAATCCTCTTACACATACTTATGCAGAAAGTTTCCAAAACAGAATCAAGTCCTTACTTTCTCCCAGAATTCAACTGATAATCGCTTTTTATATAGCCTTATTTGTTTTATATAGCCTTATTTGTTTCATGTACACATTATCATATATAAAAGGGCTTCAGAAAGCTTGTTGGGGGGTGGGAATTAGCTCTCAATTCTATTTTCCCACAACCATTTAAAACTTCTTTCTATATTCATTCAAAAAGGGAATAGATTTATAGTCCTATGAAATAGTGGGAATTATTGATACTATATTAACTAAATAGGCTTAATAAGATAAGCTGTGACACAACACATGTCTTCCAGTGGAAATACACAGCTCATTTCACACGCACATCTGAACCATTAGTGGAGTGATTACTTTACATCTCTACCAACCTGGTTTAAAAATCAAACCATTGATCTTGCTTAAGTTATATGTATGTGAGTACATAGTCAAAGTCCTTTATAAATAAAAAAGACCGAGAATAAAAGATACATTAGAGGTCTATTCTAAGAAGTCTAGAAAAATAGATTAAATATCAGTAATATCATAAGCAAGTAAAATTTTGTTGAAAGTAATGCAATAGAATTGCATCAATACATTGCCAGAAATTCAGGCCAGATTCAAAAGAGGACACGGAATGCAGAATATTATTGCAGACATCAGATAGATCTGGACTGAAAGCAGAGACCAGAAAGATGCTTACTCGTGTTTTTATTGACGATGCAAAAGCATCCAGCTGTGTGCATCACAAAAATCCTATGAATAACCTTCAGAAGAATGAGAATTCCAGGATACTTAATTGTGCTTATGAAGAAACTATACATAGACCAAAAATAGTCATTCAAACAGCATAATGAGATACTGCATAGTTTACAATCGTGAAAATGTGAGTTAGGGCTCTATTCTTTCACCATGATGATTCAGTCTGTCTGCTGAGAAAATAACCCAAGGAGATGGACTCCATCATATAGACTGTCGAATCAGAAGTGGAGGAAAGTGCTGTAATAATATGCAGCAGACACAACCTTGTTTCCTGAAAATAAGGAGGACTTGAAGTACTTACAGATCAAGATCAATGACCTTCAGTATAAATTACAACTCAATATTACCAAAACAAAATTTCTCAAAATTTGACCAATAAGCAACATTATGATAAATGCAGAAGAGAATGAAACTATCCGGGGTTTATTTGACAGGTGGACTAATGACGCAGAGGGGTGAGCCTTGGTGGAAGAGTGGATTATGACTGGGCTGCTAACCGCCAGGTCAGCAGTTAGAAACCACCAGCCATTGTTTTCTGGGAGGAAGCCAGGCTTTCCACTCCCACTAAGAGTTACAGTCTCAGAAACCTCAAAAAGCCGTTCTTCCCTGTCTTCTAGGTCACTCGACTCAGTGGCAGTGAGTGTTTGGTTTTAGAGCATATTTCAGAGACCACATATGCCCTCCTTATGCCCTCCATCTCCACAACTTCCCCAGGCCAAATGCCACAAGACAGAGGTGAGGCATACCTCCCCCCTCCGCCCTTCTTTCTGCAATTCTGATACCTCCTGTTTCTCCCACAGCACTTTACTTTCTGCTGGGTTCTAGGTCTGATCATTCATTTGCCGTGGCCGCAGAGAACTCACGGGCAAAACACACAATTATGAGGTTTGCTCGGGAAATTCACAGGTCACCACATGTTAGAATCAGTAAACATTAAGGAGGGAGACCTCAGTCCTCAGCAGCACGTCTCCTCAGCCAGAAGCCAAGTCTCTCCCTCTGGTCCTTGGCCTCTCAATGAGGCAGCGTGGCCGAGGCTTCCCCTTCCGGTAAGATTTCCAACATACTCTACTTGTGATTCTTCTTCCTCAGAAATCCCAGGAAGCCTCCCTAGTTCAGAGATGGCTCTCTTACACAGAGGAATGGTTTGGATGGAGGTCTCGTTTTATGTCTTTCAGCAGATCACACCACCAAGGAAACCAAGGAAAGAGGGGTGACTTGATTCACACCCTTCTAAGGTGGGAATACTCAGAGTACATCCCATTTAATCCTGATCCTTAGCCTAACTGAGATGTTCCTCCAGTATGCAAGTATAACCACCAGCCTAGTGGATATGTATTTATAATACATTTATAAGTGGATTTGAAATACATCAAAACAGGGCCATGTTTATTGACTACATCTCAATAAGTATCCACAATCAGATTTCTTGGAAGAAACAAAGAACTCAAACACTGTATTGCACTGGCAAATCAACTGCACAATATCTCTATCAAGCATTAAAGAGCAAAGCTTTCACTTTGAAGGCCAAGGTACATCTGAGTCAAGCCACGGTATTTTCAGTTGCTTCCTATACACACGAAGGCCGGACAAAGAATCAGGAAGACTTCCGAAGAGTTGATGTATTTGAATTATGTGTTCATAAAGAACATGGAATAACCCATGGAGTGCCCGAATAGCACTAAAATTTCTCTTGGGAGACATAGAACTAGAATGCTCATTGTAAGTGAAAATGGTGGCTCTTCCACTTCCTTTGGACATGTTATGAGGAGAGACCAGTCTCTGGAAAAGGTTATCTTGCTTGATAAATTAGAGGGTCACCAAAAAATAAAGACCTTCAATGAGCTGGATTAACATATAGGCTACAAAAATCAGCTCAAACTTAACAACAGTTGCTAAGATGGCATCAGAGGAGCAGAGCTTTGTTCCGTTGTACGTAGCATAGCTAAAAGCAAGGACGAACTCAATGGCATCTAGGTAACTGACCGACCTTAGTGAAAGATGAACTGTGTTAGCCTGTAAGAGCGAACCCTACGTAGCCTAAGGTGG